ATAACATTCAGCCAGCAGCTTCCTAAAGTAAAGTGCTATGATATTTGTGAAAAGATAAGCCACTTAAAACAGGTGAACATCTTCAGGTCCTTTTGGCCTCTTATATTTACAATTTAAATGTAATGTATGGTAATTATGAGAACTTCATGCTCAATGAATGTTTTAATTTTATTGTTACAATGACCCCTGTATATAGTGTATTGTAAACACTTGGGGTTGACAGATTCTCTGCATTTTATTAATGTCGAATGAGTGTATTCGTACTTCACTACTGTTAAGTTTTTCAAGAAAGATAACTCTTACATGCAATAACCATGTGTATATGGTTTTATTATAACATGTCAATTGTTAATCGTTTATAGATAATTTTAGTTTACACAATTTCAGCATTTATTAAAATGATATACATTAATGCAATACTAATCTTTAGCCGTATCATTTTTATTGACATTATTTTGCAAAAAATTGTGTCTTTCCTTTTTTGTTTTCAAAATTCACTCCTTTTACATAAATTTCCATTTAAAATCCTTAAAATTCTAACAACCTATATTTTTTTGTGGCAGAACATTTTCTTTACTTCAAAGCAATATAACTACAAAATTTGAAGAAATTCTACTGAGAAATGGTGACACAATCCTATTACCTTAATTGTTATGATGGCTTATCTGTAGAATATAGTCTTTTTGGGGATTGATTAGTTTTTAACTCACGTGGCCAAAAGTGGGCCATGTAAGCTTATGCTGTGGTGCGGGTCCATCCCTCAGCTTTTGCTTGGAATTGTCGAAATTTTGTCGGGAGCATTTTTGGGCAAAGAGATGCTTTAATTATCCCCCGCTTTCACCGAAACAGGGGATATTAATTTGGGTTTGTCCGTCTGTCTGTCACGCTTCGTTTCCGTGCAACAACTACAATAAATGTTAACCGATTTTCTTCAATCTTGGTCACAGGGTTAAATACCTTAAGGGCTCGGCCAAGTTCGATAAACCACTTTCAGCGAACCCCATTTGGCGGAGTTATGGCCCCTTGAATCATGAAAAACGTCATTATATGCCGCGCTGCATTTCCATGCAATAACTACAACAAATGTTAACTGATTTTCTTCAAACTTGGTAACAGGGATAAATGCCTTAATTATATAAGGGCTCGGCCAATTCGATGACCACTTTCAGCGAACTTTATTTGGCGTAGTTATGACCCCTTGAATAATGAAAAACGTCATTATCTGCTGTTTCTGTTCATTAACTCTTGCAAATATTATCCAATTGTCTTCAAACTTAGTAACAGGGTTCAACGCATTAAAGGCTCGGCCATGTTTGACAACCATCGGACTCTATTTCGCAGAGACATTATCTGCAGTTATCGCTTTATAACTCTTGCAAATATTAGATAAGGCTTTTTTTTCTTCATATTCAAGCTATACATTATGTCTCAACAGCACGATACTCGCATGTTTAACCCTAACCTCAATAATGTTTACCTACAATATGTCCTGAAAGCGGGGGATATAAATTCCACGAATATGCTTGTTTTATATAAATTGAGGATGTGTCCCCTGCCCCCATCCCTCCTTCACCTAGAGGTAGAGGGGCTGGGCACAATTAGGAAAGTAGAGGTAGATATTTGAAATCTGTCCTTTTGAAAGGATTTTATCCAGATTCGTTCTGGACATCCTTGGCCAAAGTGACTAAACTCAATTCTGTATAAACGGAGAATGTGGCTCCACCTAGGAGCAGAAGGATAAAGCCCAATGAGGGAAAATCAGTTTTGTATAAACTGAGGGTGCCCTTCCCCATTTTGTATAAATTGAGCGTGCCATCATCCAACGGGACTCAATTTTGTATTAACAGGAGATGTGGACCCATGGGGATTTTATTTGTAAAATACTTCTCTTATGTAGGAATAACGTGATTATTTTCCAAATTTGCTCTGAAGTATCCTAGATCCAAGGGTTACTTTTTTTAAGGCCTACTCCTCCTGGAAGTTGATCATATTTCAACTAAACTTTCTATAATGCATCCCTTGGACCAGGGAATCAATTTTTGTGTAAAGGTAGGGTGTTGCTTGGAGATTGAGCCAAAATGTGGGAAATATCTACATTATTATAAAAATATATATGCATATAATGAGAATATTTTGCCATGCTTGCATAAATATCCAGGTGAGCAATACTGGCCCATTGTGCCTCTTGTTTAAGCGGGTAGATATGATTTTGATAGCTACAGTATATGGTAGATAGGTATGACCTACCCATGATTTTGAATATATATATTATACATGTATACTTTTTATATGTACATGCATGTCTCATAAAGGCATATATACAATTAAGGTAAAGGGTACATACAAATTGAACTATATTATTACCATTGTTTATTTTGCGAAATGCTTGAACAAAAACAGCTTTGACTGGAACTCCCGATTATTAACTGATACTTTGGTACCCTTTACTTGCTGTAAACTGTACACGTTTAATTAAAAGCATATTTTCTTTTGTATATATTAAATTTCTGATATGAAATTTCTACTGCTTTATAGCCATTTGATGGGATGTTCAAATATCCCTTCATCCGTGGTGATTCCTGGTCCATCGACCGTCCGTCGTGAAACATTTCCTGTTATCGCTATCCAGCAAGTACTGAAGGGATCTTTCTCAATTTCACATGTAGGTTTCCCATTGCCCTGGTTGTGCATATTGAATTGTTTGACTGATCAGAAAACCAAGACGCCCAACTGGTGGCTATCTCAGAGCTATATACCTTATACCCGATAAGGATAATTAAATATATACAATAAATATATATAAGTCCAATCCTGCCCCGTTTCTGTCCGTTCCTGTAAATCGTCGCCCGTTCCTGCCCGATCCTTATCAATACAATACTCTTAATTCGTTGCAATTCTTTTATCAAATATATCTTATATCCGATAAAGAGTTTGTTAGCGCTATTTCTCAGAATATACTGGAAGATCCCGGGATCTTTCTCAAATTTCACATATGTATGTTCCCTATTGTCTTTTTTTCGTGCATAATGAATTTATGGACAAATTGGAAAACCAAAATGGCCGAAAATTGATCGTGGAGATAAATTTTGTTTAAAGTATTTCTCAGAGTACTGGATTTTTTTTTCTAAGATTCCCCTTTGTCACACATAAAGTACTGTACTAGTAAATGGGTTAAAAGACAACCTCGCTTTGAAAGAGCAACGCCACACACAGCAGTATGAAGTTGGTTTCGGTAAAAAAAAAACAAGATGCATTCAACAGATAATAAAGAGAAGAGAGAAAAGATCAGTGTTATATTGAACCGTTGAAGATCGTCAATGGTGGGCGCCAACATCCCTCAGGTTTAATTTGGAGCAGGAATATTGGTTTACAGTTCTATGTGATATATGCTTGATTTAAAGTTAAAATTAATTCATATTAAACATATAATAAGAGTATAAAATAAATTGATACTGCAATTCAAATGACTATTTTCTTGTATGTTTAATCTGATGAATACTAGCCCTGAGTCACAAGAGATAGCACTAACGTGAAGGGAACCTAAAACGGAACTCTTTTTATAGAAACATATTAATACTTTTGATTAAGTTTCTGGAACCAAAGTCTTTTTTACTGAAATGAAACAGTATATTTTTTGATGTATTTGTAGAGTTCATGCAGTAGAATTCAAGGTTTACCTGAGAAATACATTTTGCGGGATCGTGAGGGTTGCCCAAAATGGAACGATAGGCATACTAAAATGTGCAGTATAGTTATTTTGCAATACAGTTCAATTGTATCTGTTCTAACCAAACATTTATGTAGATTTAAGCAATTTGAAGAAAATGTATCTGTCTAACGCGGTGCGACTACACAAATTGTCTTTAAACGCGGGAAATATTTGTTCAAATGAATATTTTAATGAATAAATAGCTAAAATTTATCTCAAGTGTCACAACTTTCTTGAAATTATCTGAAGAAACATATTTTCATAAATTTACTTATATAACGAGGTGTTCCATTTTGGGTACCTGGCCCCGAGATCATGATATGATCGAAAGTCTAATATTGTTTTAAGTTTTGACTTGACCAATCACTGATAACGTCATGAAAAGTGACATCATACGTGATTGGCTAAGCAAAAACTTAAGTCTCAGGTTGTTAGCTGGTTATGATTAACCCATCGAGAGTTGATCCAAAATAATAAAACGTCTTTCATTACTCCTAACACATCAGTTCAGGGCAAAAACAGTAACAAAGTCTCGGGTCATTCAGATGGCGTTTACGAAAATGCATGGAGGCGGCCGCAGAGATTGGCGAATCGGCCGTACCTTCATTGTGATATGTCAAACACCAATAGACTCATTGAATTGATTTTTGTTTTTGATAATGTTGTATTTTTACTTGCATTTATGTCCTGCAATGATCGTAATGTCATGCATAATTATATCAAAGTGGACGTGCATATACATGTACTATTTCAGACACGGAGTCGCCGAATGCATGTACATTGTACAAATACTGCAAACTAAAATAGGTGCTCAGCGTTCCCTATGCGTCATATACCTCCTTCCACTTACATCACATTATAAGAGGTAGCCATAGTTTACTCTGGTCCTGACACAAGACTTAGACATTTTGACAGATACACTGTAGATGCCTGGTCATCTCTCTGTCAAAATGTCAAAGTCTGGTGTCAGGGCCAGAGGTAACTCGGGCTATATAAGAGATAACAGAAACTTCTGATTAGGTTTGGACTACAATTGATAGCTTTACCATGCCTTCACAATGATGGTCAGTCCGACTCACATCGGAGGATATTATATAGGATTCACATTTACCGCCTGTGATTACGTACGCTGGTAATCTACGGACACCAGAAGTAATTGATATTCATCTGAAACAAAATGTGTAGAGATAACTAAACCGTGCTATCGGATGTCTGCGTAGGAGGACACGAGTTGGTCCTCGAAGGTAGTGAATTGAACAACAAACAAGACGAAGGTATTCTAAATAGTTTATTATCATATTAAATCGGGGTTTGTATTCAATACTTTTAAACATGATCAAAATGAACAAACACTGCCAGAAGTTATACCCAATATATATAACTCGTATTAAATATAGAGACATACTGCATGTACACGGTATGGACTAACGAAGGAATATGAACGAATTACCACATCCTGACAGACGCCCGAAAAAACCACACACGAGGGCCGAATATATGGTCATAGCACGACTGCCCATAATGGTCATACTATTGACCATACATTTTTACTTATAGCTCTACGCTAAAACAAAGACATGTCATGGTACATGTGCATAATACTCTCTTGGCTCGCGGAACAAGACCTGGATTTGACTTGTCCATGAACATGCCATGGCAATCGGGAACCGTCGGCACCTTCCGTAAACGAAACGGAAAGTGCCGACGATTAAAGATTGCATGTCGTGGTTTAACCCCCTGTGCTATACACAAGAAATGATGAGGTTTGTATGTGTTCTATTTCTTTGAAACAAGACCGGGCTTAGGTGTATCTTTCGCTATGCCCTACTGGTCGCCTTAATTTATGAATTGGGCTTATAATGAATAGATCTCATAGTCCTACACGGGATTTTGGTCTATAGTAGTTATGGCATTGTATACTCCCTCAATCTGGAAGCAGATCGGACCTACACGTTTCCAACGAAGTGTCCTTTCGGTATGCCCTCAATCACGCAATTGTATGCATTCCTAATCCTAACGAAGATCTGAGTTGTATACCTTCTTATATCGAATGAGAGAACGAAATGTTGCGCGACCTGGATCATATCTTGAACCGAACAGTATAGGGCGTGGCCTGAATCATATCTTTGGACCGAACAAGGACAGTATAGGGCGTGGCCTGAATCATATCTTGGACCGAACAAGGCAGTTTAGGGCGTGGCCTGAATCATATCTTGGACCGAACAAGGACAGGATGGCGCGTGGCCTGGATCATATCTTACACTGAACAAGGACAGAATGGGGCATGGCCTAGATCATATCTTACACCGAACAAGGACTTGATATGATGTGTCCTTGATCGGACAAGACAGAGTGAGGTGTGTCCTTGCTCGAACGAGGGGTGTGTACTTGATCATGGTAGTATGTAGGAACCAAAGTTACAGGTTTGACCTATATATAACTTCGGATATAATGCAATCGTTATTTATCCGGAGACATGTTAATTATGAAACGTGACACACGTTTTGTGGTTGAAAGCAATCATGACTTAATGATAAACATCGGTGTTATAAACTTTGAAGCGAGATGGGATGAGCTTGGGGAAGATGTGTTTAGTAATGACATGGGGAATATCCTATAATGATACCTGTGGTGGCGTAGATGTTATAAACGAAGAAATGTGTGGATGGCTGTAGACCAGTGTAGTAGGGTGGGGTTGGGTGTGAGGAGGGAGCGTTAGCGTGGTGTTAGGGGATGAGGAGGGGGATTAAGCGTGGGGTTGGGGTGGTGAAGAGGGGGAGTAAGCGTGGGGTTGGGGTGAGGAGGGAGCGTTAACATGGGGTTTGGGAACGAGGAGGGGGAGTTGGCGTGGAGTTGGGGTGGTCAGGAGGGGTGTCAGCGTGTTATAAGTTCATTCCAACATCACCCAAACCGTGTCTGCATGATTACGACACTGGCTGATTTTCACATCACATTCACGAGCGATTAATTCTATATACGCATAAAATGATACTTGAATTCAAGGAAAATGAATGGTGGTTCTGTCGTTAATGGTGACTGATTTTCGTTTGGTTTCTGGATCCTTCGTGGCTTTTTCTGTACTGTTGACAAAGTGCTCTGAACTGTTCCGCCCTGCCTCAATTTCTGAAGTGTCCTCAGCCATATTTACTCTGTCGTCTGTAGTAACATTTATCGGCGACATTGAATCCTTGTAAACCACACTTATTTGACTGTCTTCTTTTGACGGGGATACTTGAAGCTCAATTGGCGACACATTCTGCTTGCCATCATCACGAGAACTCGTACTGTTGGACCTCACAAAAGCAGATTTGAGTCTCTTGGTAGAAGGCTTTGATATAGGACCATCATTATCTACAGGAAATTGATATTCATGACGCTCGGTTGCATTGTGTTGCTGGTGAGATGCAACAACTTCTGGAAGGGTTTTCTTTGTTGATTTTGATACCGGGTCCAGTTTTCTCTTATGCTGAGATTTGTTAGCAACTGTCTTGTTTTCTCCATTATATACGTTTCTTTCAGAGTTTCTCGAAGCTGTTGTGATAGTGGTCTTCGTTGATGGTCTGCGACTCAAACCGCACAAGTCATTATCTTTGCTTGCCTTAGTAGAGCCAGCCCTCTGATCATCCACGTGACGGACATAGTCTTTATGAGTATCCGGTCTTTCTTTAGTGGCACCCGGGTTTGTCTTTGCCTTTCTTCCTTTCCTGATAGCCGGTAAAGTCACACCATCACTGACTGCTCCAAGGTTGACGATTCTCCTCGATCTCATAGACGGGAGTTTAGGATCTGCATCTGTTTTATTGTTTTTCTTCACATGTCCCTTGCCAGCTACATTAGATTGATGGTCTTCTTCTCTGTTGTTGTTGGCGCTCCAAATTGGATGGAGAAGGTCCTTTTTTGTAACTCTTTTCCACTCCTCCTGAACAACATAGGTCTCTTTCGTTTTCTTAGATGTTTTCTCGTTATTTTTGCTGTTATTGATCGAAGGGAGTTTCGTTAACTTCTCAACTCCTTTCCAAGGCTGTGGGTTTTTTCCTCTTCCAATGGGCTTACTAGTCACTGATTTTTCCTCATGAAGTTTCAAGTATGACATTTTTTCACGACCCCCCAAACCCTTCAGTGGCGGTAATGTTGTTTCTTTTTCCAGAAGTTTGATTGCTAGGTTTGACTTGGCTATTTTCCTCTGGTCTGATTCCTCTTGACGCTTAATCATAGCCTTCTGTTTGTAACTGACATCCTTGACGATCTTGTTGATTTCCTCCTTCAAGCGGTGATAGTCACGTGACGCGTCGTCAAGTTGGTGCTCGTACATGTTGTATAAACCTGCAAAGCGAACAAATATTAGAGTTATAATTCGTTAGAACCAATGTGAGTGATAACCAATGGTTGCATATCTTAAGCAGAACTATACTATTCAAAAACTTGATTCGTAAGATATTGAACTTCATCTCACAATCACGTGGTTATAATTTGTTCTCCGGGGGAAAGCATCTTATTTTATTCGTTTGCTCACTAGCGAGAGGACCGTGGTATGAACTCCCAACTTTCGCTTACTCTCAAGGGATTTAAGCTTTTCCTCTAGACTTTTTATGTAGACTTGGCTCTGTCGACTGTTACTCGAGCTCGACGACTCGGACTCGCCCATCACCGGCAGTGTCATACCCGCATCACCTTGTTTGAGCATGTACAGCTCTGTTTTTATTTGTCCGATTTCCTTAGTCAGCATCTGATTGAATAATCGTTGATCATGAAATCTGAAAAGATAATGCGCAATATGTAAAATGAATTTTACACAGTTGTTATTGTTAGCAGCTGACGTCTGTTTAATGAGAGACACATGTCTTCTCAAGCATATCGCTCATCATTATAGATGTACTTACGTTTTTGGAACGCCAAATTAACATACTGGTCGCATATTCAAATTATTGAAGATATATACAGTTAATTAAAGATAGATTTAATTCAATTCAATTCAATTCAAGGTAACATATCTTATTAAAAGATAGGTTCAACTGAAGTGAACCTATCTTCAATTGAATTTGCAAACATCTTCAATTGAATCGGAACTAGGTATTGCATAAATACAAGATATCCTCAAATGAATTAAGATGTATCCAATTGAATAAACCTATCTTTATTTGAATTGAAAAACTTCAATTTAATTAAAGATGTTTTACATTCAATTGAAACAAGTATGGATAAACGATGTTCAATGTACTGGTCCGGATTACATGGTTTAACTGTACTAGTCCGGATATCGATGTTCAATGTACTAGTCCGGATAAACTATGTTCAATGTACTAGCCCGGATTACAAGGTTTAACTGTACTTATCCGGATAAACAATTTTCTACGTACTATTCCGAACTATGATGTTCGCAATACCCGTCCAGATCAACAATATTTTTCTGGACTTGTCCAAGTTTATCAGGTTAGTTTCACAGTATTAGGCCGGATTAACGATGCTACTATGTACAAATCCACCACACAGAAGTATTATTGTACACCACATATATTGAGTGCAGGGCATTGTACCATTCCAAGGCACATATCACACTTATTATACATTATTGGCTCTAATCCCTAATGCATAGATATTGACCTTCCAGCCAAAAAGGGTCTGAACAACAGGTTAATGAATCGTCATAGCTCGGAAGATTCCGTACCTACATCAACCGGAATCAGCCGAGGTTAGCCGATGGCAGGTTATTGTACTACGGATTGGACTCCTTTGACGAGGAAACAGATTCAGTTTATTTCCGCGAATGCTTAATGTGGTTCAACAAATATAGGAAAGAAGCAAACACTTATATAAGAGATGGCCGATGTAGTGATCACAGTATCGCAAATTTGAAGGACTTTCCATTTTAAGCTCCACAAGTGTACCGAAACTATTCATAGAATGAGGTATGTTTCTTGCACGGCCTAGATGGCAGTTTTTCATGAAATATTCGGCCTTGGTAATATATTCTCACCCTCGTCATGTCTTCTCCCATCGTAAAACACTCACGATATTTGCTATTTATTAATGGTGACATCAATGCGAAGGGAGGAAAGGTGATGTGATTACTCGTCAGAACCCTATACTTAAATTGACGTGGGTTGATTTAACTACCGCGGTAAAGGATGCTGTGTTCTAATCGTACAATATACACTTGGTTTCCACTTATTGGCTTCTTAATGGTCTTGTCATTACTCAACAGATACAGTTGGAACATTTTCATTAAACTGAGAAAACAGAAAACTTTAAGTTTGTAGTTTCGTAACATGAAGATATCGAGTAGTGTAATTCACCGGGGATCGAACCATATTTTATATTATTTTGTTTATATAATTCCACCCACCTGGTCTTCCACTCAGACTCGCTAGTTGTGGCCGAGTCCATATTGGTGGTGATCTCGTCCACTATTTCTGTCCACTTTTCCACGGAATTCATCATAACCTGTTCCAGCTGTCTCTCACTCTCCAGGGCCATCATCAACTCGGAGACGCTTTCCATGCGTTCCCGGTTGGAACTCTTCAGTCCCAGAGATGTCTTCGCCCGTTCCAGCGACGTTTTTATACTTTTATGTGTACTCATATCTCTACTAGTGTGCATGTATCTTGCTTCGCTACCACGGAAGTGATCATTGTTCTACATGACGTCATAATGCCTGCTTAAGTATGACGTCACAATAGTATGATTGCCTAGCCGCGGTCCTTTGACGTGAAATGCGAGATCATGAGCGATGTAGTTATGCAATCATGGCCGTTTAGTGTACACTTTAAGACGGACCAGATTAACGCTTGCTTTCATTATCAGAGTCCCATTCAATTCCCTTTATACGATATAACTAAAAAAAAATACCATGCATCTTGGTTGTATAGCATTTCAATGTTTAAGCCAAACAAATAAAAAACTAGATGTATACCTAAAATTCCACTTTACTACAATACACTCTAAGTGAGCGGGTCAAATATTTAATTTTAATTGGATCGCCGTTTAGCTGTGATGGATATTGGGGATACTATATAAATGTATTGGTGTATGGAACGATACGATACGATACGGGAAAGCATTGTTTTAAAATACGGAGTGGCGGTACGATACGAAACAAAGTGCTGGGTCACTACCAATCTTGCATCGGCACGACACAATAGATAAGGACTATAAAAAGTCAACAAAACACTGAAACTTTTCGCCATTCGCTTGAAACTCATCAACTCTCTTACTACCGTTGGTAATGTACATTTCTTAAGCTTTCTCAAATTCACGTAGTTCATTGTTTTGTTGTCGTTTAGTGACTTCCTTAACTCAGAGTCGTCCGCCGTCTTGTTCATAGTTTGAACAAACGGTTTGGTCTCGTTTATTAATGGCACGTTTTGGGAAGTACATCTGGTAACCTTTTTGTTTTACATCATAGACGTACATCTAGTAACCTTTGTACATCATAGAAGTACATGCGGTAATCTTAAAACATCCTAGATGAACATCAGGTAATCTTAAAACATCAAAGAAGTACATCCGGTAACCTTCGTACATCCTAAAAGTACATTTGGCCAACTTCATACGTCCTAGAAGTACACCTGGTTACCTTTGTAATCCTAGAAGTATATCTCGTAATCTTTGTACATCCTAGAAGTACATCTCGTAATCTTTCTACATCATAGAATTACATATCGTAATCTTTGTACATCCTAGAAGTACATCTCGTAATCTTTGTACATTATAGAAGTACATCTCGTAATCTTTGTACATTCTAGAAGTACATCTCGTAATCTTTCTACATCATAGAAGTACATATCGTAATCTTTGTACATCCTAGAAGTACATCTCGTAATCTTTGTACATCATAGAAGTACATCTCGTAATCTTTGTACATCCTAGAAGTACATCTCGTAATCTTTGTGCATCATAGAAGTACATCTCGTAATCTTTGTACATCCTAGAAGTATATCTAGTAACCTTTGTGCATCATAGAAGTACATCACAAAACCTTCATGCATCCTAGAAGTACATCTCGTAATCTTTGTACATCCTAGAAGTACATCTCGTAATCTTTGTACATCCTAGAAGTATATCTAGTAACCTTTGTGCATCATAGAAGTACATCTTAAAACCTTCATGCATCCTAGAAGTACATCCGGTAACTTAATTTCATCCTAGCCGTACGTCTGGTAGCCTTATTCATCCACGAAGTACATTCGGTAACCTTTTTACATCCTAGAAGTTCATCTGGTAACCTTCATATACATCATAGAAGTACATCAGATAATCTTAAAACATCAAAAAAGGACATCTGGTAACCTTCGTACATCCTAAAAGTACATCAGGTAATCTTTCAACATCATATAAGTACATCCAGTAACCGTAAGGCAACATAGAAGTACATCCGGTAACCTAAATAAATAATAGAAGTACATCCGGTAACATTAAAACATCATAGAAGTACATCCGGTAATTAACATTTAAAACATCATAAAAGCACACCCGAAATCTTAAAGCATTTGAGCATACGAACATATCTTCCCACTCTTCACAAAACTCATTAACTTATCATTTCCATTCAGTGTGGATTTTAACAGGATATCTAAATAGGATTTTATGATTGAGAGCGGGATGAAGAAACCCTGGTTGACGAAATCGAGGTACGTGCAGGATGCGTGTCACAAATAAGTAAACAAAATCAAATTTTACACACCAAATATCGATACTGTGAACAATGTATTAGATATTCGTTTTGTACATATCAGATAACAGTTTTCTGTACCGAAAATATAATATTATACTTTTGGGTATGCCTCATGCCAATATTTAGTTTTCCAGTGTTATTTTGGGATGCATGCACACATCGAGTTGTCCTTACTATTTTTGGGCATGTATAAATATGTTTTTTCTTAGCCGTATAAATGTATGGGTATCCATTACTCGGTTCAACGTACTCCAGATGTAATTAATTAGGAAATATAAATCACATTGGAGTCATATGTGATCACCAAGGCGCGTGAATTCGGGACCGGTCAGTAGAATATGTATACGCAAAATTAGTTTCAGGTGTAAACTAGTCTCACTTCTCAGGTTGAAATTTAACAAATATGTACTATATATGGAAATCAAACCCAGAATTTGTATCTTTAACGGTTTCCCCCCATTTCCTCTATAATAATCAGGGAGAAATTGACCAATCAGGTCGATCGATGACCGATAGGGGAGTATCGCTGCGTTCACATGTAGTAATTACTGTAATTGTTTAATCTATTAGTCGTTGTCTCTTGCTCCGGTCTAAAGATAGAGAGATGGATGTATGAAGCGGATCGTATCCCCTAATCATGCTTGTAGATAAGCAGACGTATAAGATGATTCTGGTCATTGGTCCCCGTCCAGCGATATTTTATGAAGAAATTCCAAGCTGCATTTTACTACTAGCTTATCTCCCCCTAGTTTGAGAACCTAGGATACAATCAGACATCCAAGTCATCATTTTTTTCCTTTTTTTTTCTAAATGATTTAAAATTTCTAGAGACGGGGCCAGACTAACAGAGAGGGAGATGAATGGAACAGACATTACAGAAAACAGAGAGGGAACTGAATGGAACAGAAATAACAGAAAACAGATAGGGAGATGAATGGACCAGACATTACCTTAAACAGAGAGGGAACTGAATGGAACAGAAATAACAGAAAACAGATAGGGAGATGAATGGAACAGACATGACAGAAAACAGAGAGGGAGATGAATGGAACAGACATAACAGAAAACAGAGAGGGAGATGAATGGAACAGACATAACAGAAAACAGAGAGGGAGATGAATGGAACAGACATAACAGAAAACAGAGAGGGAGATGAATGGAACAGATATTACAGAAAAAAGAGAGGGAGATGAATGGAACAGACATTACAGGAAACAGAGAGGGAGATGAATAGAACAGACATTACAGAAAACAGAGAGGGAACTGAATGGAGCAGAAATAACAGAAAACAGATAGGGAGATGAATGGAACAGACATTACAGAAAACAGGGAGGGAGATGAATGGAACAGACATTAAAGAAAACAGAGAGGGAGATGAATAGAACAGACATTACAGAAAACAGAGAGGGAACTGAATGGAGCAGAAATAACAGAAAACAGATAGGGAGATGAATGGAACAGACATGACAGAAAACAGAGAGGGAGATGAAAGGGTCATAAATTACAGAAAACAGAGAGTGAGATGAATGGAACAGACATTACAGAAAACAGAGAGGGGACTGAATGGAACAGAAATAACAGAAAACAGATAGGGAGATGAATGGACCAGACATTACCTTAAACAGAGAGGGAACTGAATGGAACAGAAATAACAGAAAACGGATAGGGAGATGAATGGAACAGACATTACAGAAAACAGAGAGGGAGATGAATGGAACAGACATTACAGAAGTACAGAGTTGACATATCTATACCCTCATTGGATGGTAACACAGGCGTCTGTTTGTCATTATTTCATTCCGCTGTTTGAATTTGGATAATTTTTCTGAAAGTTAATTATTATTGTCGTAACCTTCTACTGAGGATACACATTTCTATTGCCTGTATTTGTTCATCATTCCATGATGCGATATGCGACGTAAGGGGCATAAGAGAATATAGAGAACATACGAGTGTGAACGGATAGTAGGACCTGTGTTGAATAAAGGAGACAGAGCACCATTGTTTTATACTTGCGGTTTACATACCAAGTGACAACGATGTTAATCATTATAATGCTGTTCTTGAACAACTCACAGATCTTTATTGTTACTATCCATCAACAGAAGAAGTCGTTCTAGCTGGAGACTTTGATGTACGTCTAAATGAAAATCCACAGAGCTACATATTATGTAAAAAGAAATCGGATACACATTCGTCATTCGTTGAATCCAACTCATTACGCGCTGCAAATTTCGACCATGATGCCACAGGATATATAGACACATTCAGACCAATTGAGAAACTAAACTAAACATTTTTCTTACTAACAAATTTAAACGCATGATTTGGTGTTATAAAAATGCTGACTATCCTAAATTTAATAACCTGTTCAAAACACCGATTGACAATACGTATTTAGAAATGCTTATACATGCGACGATATGTGTTCGATTTTTACAGAAAAGTATTTGGAATATGCCCATCTTTGTATTCCAACTAAGTTTATTACTGTTAGACCGAAAGATAAACCGTGGTTTACTACTGAACTACGACGTGAAATTAAGATTAGAAATAGATTGCATAAAAAAATTAAAAAGAGTTTTTTCTGTAGAGAATTTAGCTAAATTTAAAAAACATAGAAATCATGTCAACAATCTCAAACGTAGGACAAGAGAACATTTTTATGCTGATATTAATGGACTTTTAGATAATTATGCAAAAACTAATCAAAAGAGTTTTTGGAAACTGGTTCAGAGATTAACTAAAAGTGCAGATGTATCTTACATTATACCTTCTCTAAAAGACCCTATTACTAATTCTACTGCAGTAGATGATGAACGGAAAGCTAATATTTTAAACGACTATTTTGTGTCTATCTCTATTATAGACGACTCAGGTGTACCTTTACCACAAGATGATATGAGAACCCAAAGTCGTATAGATAATATATGTT